TGTCGTGTAGTACAGTATTAGTGGCGTGTGGTACAGTATTAGTGTCGTTATGGTACAGTCATTAGTGTCGTGTAGTACAGTGTTAGTGACGTGTAGCACAGTATTAGTGTCGTGTAGTACAGTATTAGTGTCGTGTATTGATTTAGTGTCGTGTAGTACAGTATTAGTGTCGTGCAGTACAGTATTAGTGTCGTGTAATGCAGTGTTGGTGACGTGGACAGTATTAGTGACGTGTGGTACAGTATTAGTGTCGTGTAGTAAGTATTAGTGACGTGTAGTACAGTATTAGTGTCGTGTAGTACAGTATTAGTGTCGTGTAGTACAGTATTAGTGTCGTGTAGTACAGTATTAGTGTCGTGTAGTACAGTATTAGTGTCGTGTAGTACAGTATTAGTGTCGTGTAGTACAGTATTAGTGACGTGTAGTACAGTATTAGTGTCGTGTAGTACAGTATTAGTGTCGTGTAGTACAGTATTGGGCGTGTAGTACAGTATTAGTGTCGTGTAGTACAGTATTAGTTAGTGGTAATTACAGTATTAGTGTCGTGTAGTACAGTATTAGTGTCGTCCAGTAGTATTAGTGACGTGTAATTACAGTATTAGTGTCGTGTAGTACAGTATTAGTGACGTAGTACAGTATTAGTGTCGTCAGTGCAGTATTAGTGTCGTGTAGTACTAGCATTAGTGACGTGTAGCAACAGCATTAGTGTCGTGTAGTACAGGTTATGACGTACTACAGTGTTACGCGTCGTGTAGTGCAGCACAGTTTCTGCGTAGCGCCACAGTAATAAGGGGTCGTGTAGCAATAGCATAGTGTCGTGCAGCACAGCACAGCGGTCGTAGCATTGGCATTAGTGTTCGTGTGTAGCACAGCATTAGTGTCGTGTAGCACAGCATTAGTGACGTGTAGTACAGTATTAGTGTCGTGTAGTAACAGCATTAGTGACGTGTAGTACAGCATAGTGTCGTGTAGTGCAGCATAGGTGATTGTAGTACAGCATTAGTGCCGTGTGAAAATAGCATTAAAGGGGATGTGTAGTACAGCATTAGTGTCGTGTAGCAAGGCATAGTGACGTGTAGCACAGTATTAGTGCTGTGTAGCATGGTGTGGCTAGTGTCGTGTAGTACAGCTATTAGTAGACGTAGCACAGCATTAGTGTAGCACAGCATTTAAATGTGCAGCAGCATATAGTCGCAGCACAGCATTAGTGCAGCACAGCATCAGTGTCGTGCAGCACAGCAATAGCGTCGCAGCACAGCATTAGTGTGCAATACAGTATTAGGTAAGCCGTGTATATGTTAATAGTGCAAGCCGTATAAGCACAGCAATAGTGTGTAGCACACAGCATAGTAGTCGTGTAGTACAGCATCATGCGTCGTAGTACAGCATTAGTGACGTGTACAGACATAGTGACGTGTAAAGCACAGTACAGCAGCACAGCATTAGTGATGTAGTATAGCAGTACAGCATAGTGTCGTAAACAGCATGTGTAGTACAGCATTAGTGACGTGTAGCACAGCATTAGTGCCCGTGTAGCACAGCATTAGTGTCAGTAGCACAGCATAGTGACGTGTAGCGCAGCATTAGTGTCGCAGTACAGCATTGTGCCCAGTAGCAACAGCACAGTCGTGGCAATATGTTAATAGTGTCGTGCGGTACAGCATTAGCGTGACGTGTAATAAGGCATTAGTGACGTAGTACAGTATTAGTGTCGTGTAGTACACATTAGTGTCGTAAAGGTATTAGTGACGTGTAGTGGCAGCATTAGTGTCGTGTAGCACAGCATTAGTGTCGTGGCAACAGCATTAGACGTGTAGCACAGCATTAGTGTCGTGTGGCACAGCATTAGTGACGGGAAGTACAGTATTAGTAAGCGTAGCACAAAGAGCGTGTCGTGGCACAGCATTAGTGATGTAGCAAGGGCATTAGTGTCGTGTAGGCAGTATTAGTGGCTGTGGTACAGTATTAGTGTCGTGGTACAGCATTAGTGCCGTGGTACAGCATTAGCGGACGTGTAGCACAGCATTGCGTCGTGCGGCAGCATTAGCGGACGCGGTACAGCATTGGGGTGTCGCAGTACAGCACAGTGCGCGTCGTGTGGCAGCATTAGTGTCGTGTGGTACAGCATTAGGCGTGCCGTGTGGCGCTGGTGCATTAGCGTCGTGTAGCAGCATTAGTGTCGTGTAGCACAGCATGGTGCGTCGTAGCACAGCATTAGTGTCGTGTAGCAGTACAGCGTCGTGTGGCACAGCACATTGAAAGTGACATATAGCATGTATTGAAGTGCCGTGTAGCGCTGGCATTAGTGTCGTGTAGTACAGTATTAGTGTCGTGTAATACAGTATTAGTTTCGTGTAGTACAACAGGTCTGCGGCAGTAAGTTGTATCTTTAAAATAAACTGTAAATATAAAATCACTAGTATAATGTAAATGGAAAATATATAAACAGATATATCTAGGAGTACAATAATCCCCTGTAGTGTAAATAAAATAAAAAATAAAATAAAAATACTTAATTTAATTATTTACACCAAATCAACATACAATAATGCTATTTTATAAACTGTAAGTCGCCAGGAATAATGGAAAATAATTACATTTTAAACATTCGTCTGCCGTGTCGGGGATGGCTCTCGCATCTCCGGGACACTTTAGTTGTTGACACACGGATACATTGTCGCATCTCGCTCCGTATTCCGCTATGGTTGTTGAGAGAAACTTAAGTGTACAGTTCCCCAGCAAATGTGTTAAGCTGGATTCTCTGGATTAGATTAGTATAGGTTCGGTTCGGGGTTAAGTTAGGTTAGGTATATTCTGCTTTTGGTGAACACTGACATTTTCTGAAATATTACAACACTGGGGTTGGTAAAAGATATTACTATCGTTCCATGAGAGGCAGGAGTGGAGGAGGAGGAAGGAATAGAGGAGGTGTTTACGGAGATAACGAGGCCATCTTGAGGGTAAAGCGGAACTCTGCGTTGTATTTCATGATACTTTTCACTTCACACTTAAACACCATTGAACTTACGTAAATAGATCCAATAACATAAGGCCATGTCCCCGAGTTGGTGTTCAGGGATAGAGAAAATACTAAAAAAAATTATTGAATAACAGACAAAAACTGTGGAAAATACAGAAGAGGTTTAGTCCGAGCGACTTTTGTTTATCCCACGCAGATCGAGAAATGACGTCAGGACCTAACTCCGACTCTTTAAGTAGACAGCTCAGGCTCTCAGTGCGACGAAATATGGGATCAAAAGTCAAACAGTAGAGATATTAGGTTATTTATAGTTCTGGAATAAAATTCATTTATTGACGATTCAAAATCAGTCTGTATACAAACGACAAGAAACAGTCCGTTGCACTGCGGGGCTTCAGGCTAAGATAGGATGGGTGGATGTTCTCGGCGCTTCAACAACTTCGATGGGTGAACTCTAGTCCATACATGAGTCATCAACTATTAGTACCTGCGAGAGTTGCTGTATCACTTTATATGGAGGTCAAATAATTACTTAATCCTCCGCCGCTACAATTAAAAATAAATTATCTGTTAACTTTCCGATTTATCAAAGATTCAACAAAATTAAAGAAAGACACGTAGATATAGTGTGACTCCATAATATACTGTATATACTGTTGTACAGGTGGTCTAAGAGTCTTGGTATCACATGACGCCACTTGGGACACACATTGTTGACAAGTTTTTTACCACCAACAACAGAAAACATCGTACGGCCGACAACACTAAATTTCGCCAACTGGTGGTGTTGTATTGTGATCATGGTGTTAATGGTGGGGTACTGGTGGTGGGTGTGTAGTGATGTGCTGAGGTTGTGGTGCCTAGGTTATGGTGTTTGTTAAGGTTATGGTGTTGTGTTGTGATTACGGTGGTGGTGTAAGAGACGAACAAATTAGTGTAAGGGCTGAGTGGTAGTGTTGTATCATTGGTTCATTCAGGTGGAAAAATAAAATGGGGAGTGACGTCAGTTGTTTACATAAGGGAGGGACAGAGGTGAGTTGGTTAGGTTAGGTTAGGTTATGTAAATGAACGTGAGAGTGTGTGACTTTCATCTGTGGCTCATATGTGTCTCACTCTGTACACATTATGAGCTCCAGTTGTGAGTTTGAGTGTAGCTGAGGTGTCGGGTGTACCACCGGCTGCGTAGAGTTTGTAAATACCGCGTAGATATACAGTACAGACGGGTGGCGTTAGTGCAGCACATCTTTACATAATGAATCAACCAAAGATACAGAGTTTAGTTTGATCTTAAATTTATAATAACTGTAAACCACGAGGGAGATGTTGTCTAACCAAGAGGAAATAATAATAATAATAAAGTTCAGTAATAAATCTTGAACATGATATAAGGTACATCAACGGTCGTACGTAACCTGCGTAATCACAACTGATGGTACAGTGTTGCATGGTGGTACAGTGTGGCATGGTGGTACAGCGTAGTACAGCTCACCTTCAGCTTCCATCGCCAAACAGTCACACCAGGTCAGACTGTACCCAGGATGGTCGTACATACAGTCTTAAAAACAACTGACGAATAAACAGACGCCATTTGTCTTCATATTTGTCACCAGACCGAACCCAGTTACATCAATTTACCCTACCCTACCCTACCCTACCCTACCCTAACCTGCCCTAGTCTACTCTACCCTACCCTACCCTACTCTACCCTCATCTAATTCTACCACTTCATCCCTACCATAACCTACCCTACCCTACTCTCACCTAGTCTACCCCACCTAGTATTGCCTCACACACCAGCCGTCTTCTCATGCGTGTTCACCCATCGTGTCATCACTAGTACATTATAGTCTCCCCCGCTGGTCATCGGGAGTCAGTTATTAGTGGTGAGTCTTGTGTCTGTTCGGTCCTTCCTTATGTGTAGTCATGTCAGGCGGCCGATGTAAGCGAGATGATAAAGTGTGGAAAAAGTCTCGGGATTCTCGATCACATTCCCCAAGTGAGTCACGACCAGAGTCAAGGTTTAACATCAACGTCCTTAGTTATTAATGACAGGAACAAAAGCCCTAACCTTCAGTTTATCGATCTCATCCTCCAGCTGAGAGTCGACGGAGATCATCTTCTTGAGAGCCTCCTCGACGAAGCCCATCCTGCCATAGAGCTGTGAGTGGTCCTTCTTTTGCATGAGGGCGTCGAAGATCCTCCAGAGGGCGCGGGTGATCATGCGATGGCCATCATGCACTTGAAGCTCTATAGGTGCCACGCCGTACCTCCTGACGTCGTTCCTGGCTGAGCTGCCGTACCTCTTGTTGGAGACTCGCTCTACTGACACTTCATTAGTGGCGTCTAAGGGTCTTGCCAGGTTCTTTTGTGCTGCCGCCACACCTAACACAAACACCAGCGTCGCCGCCCACCTGTACAAACTAGTCAGGTTGAAGCGCATTGTGGAGGACGATGAAGCTGAGGTGGTGGTGAGGTCACAAGGCCACGATACTTCTTGTTTTTGTGACCTGAAATAAGCAACACCAATATTAGTTCAGCTCAATCTGTTATCATTCAAATAATTACATCAAAACAAGAACAAAAAGTAGATTTCTTAGGTCATAACTCCTTGGAAAGTATAAATTGCTCCCATAGCCAGCACTGCCTGCCTGTTACAGGACACTGTATACAACCCCTCACGAAGCATCAAGAGAATGGAGAGGAATGCAGTAGTGGAGTCCGTCATGTTGAGGAGGAATGCTAGGACTTCAACCCTGGACATTACCAGCTCATGAAGGTCAAACTACAGAGAATTAACTGGAAGGAAATCCTAAAAGAGGAGTTAGACAGACGAATCAATGCAAGACTTCATGTAAATCCTCGAGTTAACAGTAGAGGAATGTATAGTATGCCCCGGAGGTGAAGGAAGAGAGGGAATAATAGCAGGTGGGTGAAGCACAGATCTAGGGAAGGAAGAGAAAAATACCAGATGTGGAAGAAATACCGGATCACAGGGGCCATGCAGATCATGTAGTATACAAAAGAACCTTAAATGTGGCCAATCAGAAAATTTAGATCAGCCAAACGGCACTTCCAGATGAAACTAGCCCAAAATATTAAGAGAGATCTAAGTCCATTTATGAGTATGTCAGGAGTAATATGAACACCAAGGATACTGTCGGCCCTGGAGGATGACAGACAAACAGCTGATACCTTAAATGAGTACATGTAATTTGCATCGGTATTCACACAAGAGGCAATGGATAACATGCCAGTACCTACGAGAATGTATTTCTCAAGGGAGATAGCAATTACAGATGACATCATTAAAAGAAAAGTAGTTACAGTAGCTTGGAAGAATCCAAAGCCCCTGGAGTGGACGGAGCACAGACCACAGGAGGTGTTAAACGAGATTTTTCCCCACTAAGACTCTTATTTAGGAAATCCTTGGATCAAGGTAAAGCGCCGAGAGACTGGAAATCATCCAACGTCACCCCAGTATACAAGAAGGGCAGGAAAATTGCAGCAGAAAACTGCAGGCATATCAGCCTAACATCACACATCACAAATTCTGAGGGACACTATCTTAACACCTGACCGAGTACAGTCTTATCAACGCATCACAACTGGTTTCTGGGAGAGAAAATTTGCCTGACAAACTTATTCACGTTCCTTGAAATAGTAACAGGCTACGTGTACCAAGGCTTATCAGTGGATGTGTTGTAAGCGATTTTCTTCGAGGCGTTAGACAAAGTCCCACATGCACGAATAGCCTCTAAAATACAGGCACACGGCATCACAGGAAAATTTTTGACATGAATTAACAACTGGCTGGAAGACAGACAACAAAGATTGGTAATACATGGTGTACATTCTGAGGAAAGGTTCTGGTTGAGACCAGGCTGCTCTATATTTGACCCACCCTGTTTGTGATCTAAGTAAATGACATAGATGAAAACATTGTCAAGTTTGTGGACGATACAAAGATAAGAAGTCATGGCGATGTCGCAACAATGCAGGAACACTGGCATGATCTGTTCAAATGGTCTCGAGGCTGGCAAATGCTCTTTAGCATTACCAAATGCAAGACCCTACGCGTAAGGTACAACAACCTTGATCACAACTATTGTGTTAATAACACTTCCCTGGATACTGTCGATAAGGAGAAAGATCTCGGCGTTGTGATAGATCAGTCAATGAAGGTGACGCAGTGAGGAAAGCAAACCTATATTTGGGAATTATAAAGCAAACCTTTGAATACAAAGATAGGATAATACCCCTTCAACTGTACAAAATCTCAAGTTCGTCCCAGTCTGAATTACTGTATACAGGCATGGAAACCCTACCTCCAGAAAGACTAACATCCCGAGAAAAGGTGCAACACAGAGCCACTACGATGATTCCTGAACTATGTCATCTCGATTATCCCAGTAGACTGAAGGCCTTAGGACTAACAACGCTACAGACAGCGCAACAATAGGGCAGATCTCCTTAAAACATTCTAAATCCTGAAAGTGATGGAAAACGTGAACCCGGGACATATGTTTGTGATGTCCCGCACCACCAACACGAGAGGACATAACTACAAGCTCACCAAGTTATCATGCAGAACGAACATATGGAAATATTTCTTCACACAGAGGCTGGTAGACCAAGGGAAAGGTCTACCATCCCAAGCAGTGGAATTATTAACAGTACTGGACTTCAATATAGTCCGTGACAAAATTATCAAGAACAATGGAGGGATCCTACACTGGCCACATTCCCTCGGCATGACCACTTCTAGTGGGTGGCCACTGGTTAAATTTGGTAAATATCCATCCAGCAACAGTTTGAATATTTCTTTAGTTTAGGACATCAAGACAGGTAACATCACCCTTGACAGGTAACAACACCCTAGACAGGTAACATCACCCTAGGCAGGTAACAACACCCTAGACAGGTAACAACACCCTAGACAGGTAACAACACCACGGGACAGGTAACAACACCCTTGACAGGTAACAACACCCTTGACAGGTAACAACACCCTTGACAGGTAACAACACCCTATACAGGTAACATCACCCTTGACAGGTAACATCACCCTAGACAGGTAACAACACCCTTGACAGGTAACAACACCCTAGACAGGTAACAACACCCTAGACAGGTAACAACACCAGACACAGGTAACAACACCCTTGACAGGTAACATCACCTTGACAGGTAACAACACCCTTGACAGGTAACAACACCCTAGACAGGTAACAACACCCTAGACAGGTAACATCACCCTAGACAGGTAACACCCTAGACAGGTAACATCACCCTGACAGGTAACAACACCGCTGTAGACAGGTAACAACACCCTAGACAGGTAACATCACCCTTGACAGGTAACATCACCCCAGACAGGTAACAACACCCTTGACAGGTAACAACCCCTAGACAGGTAACAACACCCTTGACAGGTAACAACACCCAGACAGGTAACATCACCCTGACAGGTAACATCACCCTAGACAGGTAACAACACCTTGACAGGTAACAACACCCTAGACAGGTAACAACACCCTTGACAGGTGTAACAACACCCTAGACAGGTAACAACACCCTAGACAGGTAACAACACCCTTGGACAGGTAACAACACCCAGACAGGTAACAACACCCTAGACAGGTAACATCACCCTTGACAGGTAACAACACCCTAGACAGGTAACATCACCCTTGACAGGTAACAACACCCTTGGCAGGTAACATCACCCTAGACAGGTAACAACACCCTAGACAGGTAACAACACCCAGACAGGTAACATCACCCTTGACAGGTAACATCACCCCAGACAGGTAACAACACCCTTGACAGGTAACAACACCCTAGACAGGTAACAACACCCTTGACAGGTAACATCACCCTAGACAGGTAACAACACCCTAGACAGGTAACAACACCTTGGACAGGTACAACACCCTAGACAGGTAACAACACCCTAGACAGGTAACATCACCCTTGACAGGTAACAACACCTCAGACAGGTAACAACACCCTAGACAGGTAACAACACCCTTGACAGGTAACATCACCCCAGACAGGTAACAACACCCTTGGACAGGTAACAACACCTCAGACAGGTAACAACACCCTAGACAGGTAACATCACCCCAGACAGGTAACAACACCCCAGACAGGTAACATCACCCTTGACAGGTAACAACACCCTAGACAGGTAACAACACCCTAGACAGGTAACAACACCCCAGACAGGTAACATCACCCTGACAGGTAACAACACCCTAGACAGGTAAACACACCCAGACAGGTAACATCACCCTGACAGGTAACATCACCCTAGACAGGTAACAACACCTTGACAGGTAACAACACCAGACAGGTACAACACCCTAGACAGGTAACATCACCCTAGACAGGTAACAACACCCTTGACAGGTAACATCACCAGACAGGTAACAGCACCCTAGACAGGTAACAACACGCTGACAGGTAACAACACCCTGGACAGGTAACAACACCCTTGACAGGTAACAACACCCTTGACAGGTAACAACACCCTAGACAGGTAACAACACCCTTGACAGGTAACAACACCCTAGACAGGTAACAACACCCTAGACAGGTAACAACACCCTAGACAGGTAACAACAACCTGGAAAACATCACCCTGACAGTTAACAACACCCTAGACAGGTAACAACACCCTTGACAGGTAACAACACCCTTGACAGGTAACAACACCCTAGAGGTAACAACACCCTCAGACAGGTAACAACACCCCTAGAGAGGTAACAACACCCTAGACAGGTAACAACACCCTTGGACAGGTAACAACACCCTTGACAGGTAACAACACCCTAGAGAGGTAACAACACCCTTGACAGGTAACAACACCCAAGAGAGGTAACAACACCTTGACAGGTAACATCACCCTAGAGAGGTAACAACACCCTGACAGGGTAACATCACCCTAGACAGGTAACAACACCCTGACAGGTAACAACCCCTGGACAGGTAACAACACCCTAGACAGGTAACATCACCCTAGACAGGTAACAACACCCTTGACAGGTAACACCCTGGACAGGTAACAACACCCCTGGACATAACAACACCCTGGACAGGTAACAACACCCTGGACAGGTAACAACACCCAAGAGAGGTAACAACACCCCAGAGAGGTAACAACACCCTTGACAGGTAACAACACCCTTGACAGGTAACAACACCCTTGACAGGTAACAACACCCTGACAGGTAACAACACCCTAGACAGGTAACAACACCCTAGACAGGTAACAACACCCTTGGACAGGTAACAACACCCTTGACAGGTAACATCACCCTAGAGAGGGAACAACACCCTAGGAGGTAACAACACCCTTGACAGGTAACAACACCCCTTGACAGGTAACAACACCTTGACAGGTAACAACACCCTAGAGAGGTAACAACACCCTAGACAGGTAACAACACCCTAGACAGGTAACAACACCCTAGACAGGTAACAACACCCTAGACAGGTAACAACACCCTTGACAGGTAACAACAAC